CAAAAAAAAAAAAAAAATAAATAAATAAAAAGAACCCCCCCCCCCCAAAAAAAAAGCAGTGAGGATGAATGGGCTCGTCTCAGTACCAAACAGAGCGACAAGCAAGGAAAGCTCCAGACTGAGGAACACTTCAGGCACGTAAAACACCAGAGCCAGGGAGATGCCTCCACAGGCTAAAGTGCTTGCCATACAAGCTTAAGGACATAGTTCCCATCTCTGGAACTCCTATATGAGCCAAGAACATGCCCGGAATCCCAAGGCGGAGACAGGCGATCCCTGGGGCTCAGTGACCAGCAAGGCTAGACTGGTGACGACTGAGAGACACTGTATCAAAAAAGAAACTAAAGGAAGCCTAAAGAACGCATCTGTACACACAGGTGTGCCCACACCCCACCAACACACACAGCTACACCCCCCACCCACAGGAACTTAAGAAAAGAGTGGATTCTCTAGAGCTTTGGTCCCACATCACCGGCTCTCCTGGCTAAACACTCTGTCACCTTTCCTTGGCTGGGTCCCTAAACATGAGCACCCAGTTCAACTCCACTCCCTCACTCGCCAGCCTCTTGCGTCCTTGGGCCCTGCTTGCCACATCTGCTTCCCATTACCCCAGGCTCTGGAACTCAGGTAAGGGGAAGGGATCAGGCGGGTACTGCCCACCCGACGATCCCTGACAGTGGGTCACCTGAATGCCACAGCAGGGGCTGCATGAGACCCAATGCTACCTCCTCTAGGCAGCCCCCATGATTTCCCCACGCTCTAGTGTAGACCTCACCAGCTTGCGGAGCTCCACGTTCTACTACTGTTGGGCGTGCCTGGGGATGCCCAGTGGCCACAAGGATTCCACCATCGTACTTCTAAACAAGTCCGTTTCCAGCGAACTTAAAAATGAGCATTACTGGGCTGGGGATGCGGTTCAGTGGGGAGGGCTCTCGCTTAGCGTGTGCACAGCCCAGGGGTCAAGCCCCAGGACTGGCAGTATATGTCTGTAATCTGAGCACGTGTGAAGTAGAGGCGGGAGGATCCGAAACTGAAAGTCATGCTCACTCAGCTCTATGCAAGTGATCTGGACTACAGGACCCCTTATCTTAAAAACAAACAACATTTGGGCATTGGGGTGGGTGCTTTTAATCCCAGCACTGAGAGGGTAGACGTAGGTGGATCTCTACGAGTTCCAAACCAGTCTGGGATACATAGCGAGACCCTGTCTCAAAAAAAGGGGAGAGTGGCTGAGAGAGATGAGACTGCTCAGTCTTTAAGAGCTGCTTTTCCACCATCCCACTAAAATCAGGAACAAGACAAGGATGTCCACTCTCTCCATACCTCTTCAATATAGTGCTTGAAGTTCTAGCAATAGCAATAAGACAACATAAGGGGATCAAGGGGATTCGTATTGGAAAGGAAGATGTTAAGCTTTCGTTATGTGTAGATGATATGATAGTATACATAAGCAACCCCAAAAACTCTACCAAAGAACTCCTACAGCTGATAAACACCTTTAGTAGTGTGGCAGGATACAAGATCAACTCCAAAAAATCAGTTGCCTTCCTATACACTAAGGATAAGGAAACAGAGAGGGAAATCAGAGAAGCATCACCTTTCACGATAGCCACAAAGAGCATAAAATATCTTGGGGTAACCCTGACCAAGGAAGTGAAAGATCTATTTGACAAGAACTTCAAGTCTTTGAAGAAAGAAATAGAAGAGGACACCAGAAAATGGAAGGATCTCCCTTGCTCTTGGATTGGGAGGATCAACATAGTAAAAATGGCAATTCTACCAAAAGCAATCTATAGATTCAATGCAATCCCCATCAAAATCCCATCAAAATTCTTCACAGATCTGGAGAAGACAATAATCAACTTTATATGGAAAAACAAAAAACCCAGGATAGCCAAAACAATCTTATACAATAAAGGAACGTCTGGAGGCATTACCATCCCTGACTTCAAACTCTATTACAGAGCTACAGTATTGAAAACAGCTTGGTATTGGCATAAAAACAGAGAAGTCGACCAATGGAATCGAATAGAAGACCCTGACTTTAACCCACAAACATATGAACACCTGATTTTCGATAAAGGAGCTAAAAGTATACAATGGAAAAAAGAGAGCATCTTCAACAAATTGTGCTGGCAAAACTGGATGTCAATCTGTAGAAGAATGAAAATAGACCCATATCTATCACCATGCACAAAACTCAAGTCCAAGTGGGTGAAAGACCTCAATATCAGTCCAAACACACTGAACCTGATTGAAGAGAAAGTGGGAAGTACTCTAGAACACGTGGGCACAGGAGACCACTTCCTACGTATAACCCCAGCAGCACAGACAGTAAGGGCCTCATCGAATAAATGGGACCTCCTGAGACTGAGAAGCTTCTGTAAAGCAAAGGACACTGTCGCTAAGACAGAAAGGCAACCCACTGACTGGGAGAAGATCTTCACCAACCCCTCAACTGACAAAGGTCTGATCTCCAAAATATATAAAGAACTCAAGAAACTAGACCGTAAAAGGCTAATCAACCCAATTATAAAATGGGGCACTGAGTTGAACAGAGATCTCTCAACAGAAGAAGTTCAAATGGCCAAAAGACACCTAAGGTCATGCTCAACTTCCTTAGCGATCAGGGAAATGCAAATCAAGACAACTTTAAGATACCATCTTACACCTGTCAGAATGGCAAAAATCAAAAACACCAATGATAGCCTTTGCTGGAGAGGTTGTGGAGAAAGGGGTACACTCATCCATTGCTGGTGGGAATGCAAACTTGTGCAACCACTCTGGAAAGCAGTGTGGAGGTTTCTCAGGAAATTTGGGATCAACCTACCCATGGACCCAGCAATACCACTCTTGGGAATATACCCAAGAGAGGCCTTATCACACAACAAACGTATATGCTCTACTATGTTTATAGCAGCATTGTTTGTAATAGCCAGAACCTGGAAACAACCTAGATGCCCTTCAATTGAAGAATGGATGAAGAAAGTATGGAATATATACATATTAGAGTACTACTCAGCAGTAAAAAACAAGGACTTCTTGAAGTTTGCAGGCAAATGGATGGAAATAGAAAACACCATCCTGAGTGAGGTAAGCCAGACCCAAAAAGAGGAACATGGAATGTTCTCACTCATATTTGGTTTCTAGCCATAAATAAAGGACATTGAACCTATAATTCGGGTTCTTAGAGAAGCTAAATAAGAAGGAGAACCCAAAGAAAATCCTGAATATTTCTCCTGAATATTAAACTTCATCAGGCGATGAAAGGAGACAGAGACAGAGAACCACATTGGAGCACCGGACTGAAATCTCAAGGTCCAAATCAGGAGCAGAAGGAGAGAGAGCACAAGCAAGGAACTTAGGACCGGGAGGGGTGCACCCATACACTGAGACAATGGGGATCGGGAACTCACCAAGGCCAGCTGGCCTGGGTCTGAAAAAGCCTGGGTCAAAACTGGTCTCGCTGAACATAGCGGACAAGGAGGACTACTGAGACCTCAAGAACAATGGCAACGGGTTTTTGATTCTACTGGACCTAGTGGTTTTGTGGGAGCCTAGGCAGTTTCGTGGATGCTCACCTTACTAGACCTGGATGGAGGTGGGTGGTCCTTGGACTTCCCACAGGGCAGGGACCTTGATTACTCTTTGGGCTGACGAGGGGGGGGGGAATGGGAAGCAGTGGCGGGGAAGAGACAGAAATCTTCAATAAATAAATAAATTAATTTAAAAAAAAAAAAGAGCTGCTTTTCCAGAGGGCCTGAGTTAGATTCCCAGCACGGGCATAAGTCTCAGTGGCGTGAAACTTGAGTTCCAGGGGGTTCCAGCGCTCTCTTCTGGTGCCTGTGGTACTGCATGCAGACATACAGGCAAACACACACCCATACACATAAAATAATATGTTCAAAAATGCCATGAATTGTTGGGTGGTGGTGGTGCACGACTTTAATCCCAACACTTGAGAGGCAGAGTCAGGCAAATCTCTGAGTTCCAAGATGGCTAGGGCTACACAGAGAAATCCTGTCACAAAAAAAAAAAAAATGCACACACACACACAAAAAAAAAAAAAAGCCCCACAAATTAAGGCAGTTAAATCTCTGAGTTCGAGGCCAGCCTTGTCTACAGAGCGAGTTCCAGGACAGGCTCCAAAGCTACACAGAGAAACCTTGTCTCAAAAACAAAAACAAACAAACAAACAAAACCGCTTCCAAAACAAAAACAAAAAAAAATAAAAAGAAAAGAAATCACAAATTCAAACAAACAAACAAAGCCTTCTGAACTTTTGCATTGTTTTCCTAAGAATTTTTGGTTCTTCACAGATGGGGAGGGGAGGGGCAGAGCAGACCGACCTTCCAGCTGCTGCATGGTCCTTAGGATGTTGTTCGCAAACTTCTGAAGATTCATTAGGAACTCATCGCGTATCAGCTGGATGCTGTGGTACTCCACCGTTTCCCCGGCTATGCTGGGCAACTCTGACGTGTCGTAAGAAGACTCTTGGGTTTCTGCAGCTGTTCCCAGGCCCGTCTCCGACTTGTGCTGATTGAACGACAGCGCGGGCATGAAAACCTGCAAATGCACAGCCATTCGTGTGGTTAAATCGCGCTGGCGTCTCCAGCTGCCTGTCAGGTTGGCAGATGTGCAAGCCGGCACTGGGCACCCCTGGATGCTCAACATTCAGGAGGCCGAAACAGGAGGAGTGCCGTTCAAGGCAGCCTGGGCTACAAATTGAGACAAGAAGGATTTTGTCACTACAAAGGTCTCCCCAATTTGCTGGCTATATAACGGTTGGCCAATTAGAATGAATTTTGCTTTGCCCTGCGGTTATTATTTTAAAATTTTTATTTATTTATTTTGTATACAGTGTTCTGCCTGCGTGTATGCCTGTATGCCAGTAGGGGGCACACCAGATATCATTTAGATGGTTGTGAGTTACCATGTGGTGGCTGGAATTGAACTCAGGACCTCTGACAGAACAGCCAGTGAGTGCTGTTAACCTCTGAGCCATCTCTCTAGCCCTGAGGTTATTTTATAATGAACAACTTGATCTTCTTTAAGCAGCCAGCATCTCTGTTCTCAGAAGACACAAGATTAAAAGGTGTCATCCAGAGGCCTGTGATCCAGCTGTGAACCCAGCACATGAGAGGCAGAGACAGGAGGACTGCCCATGAAGTCAAAGCCAGCCTGGGCTACAGAGTGAATTCCAGGCCACCTGAGCTATAGAAAAAAAGACGCTGTCTTAAAACAAGCAGAGGTTACCAAGTGAACGAGCGCATACAGCTAGTGACCTCCTATCCCACAACTCTCCAAGGCTAAACCCTCTGGCCTTCTTTGGGAGCAGGGGACTGTCCTGGAGACCAACAGTTACCTGGCAGATGACGTCCCTCAGGAAGCGGAGCACTTGAGAGTTTATGATCCCGTACTCCATGGTCTCCGGCATCATTTCCATTGCTTCCTTCATGTCGCTGGCTTCAGGGATGGCCTCTAACCCGAGAGAGACCCAGGGAGTGGGGTTAGTGGGTGTCCCAGAGTCTCTCCCTCCTCTCATAGGCCCTGGTCACACCGTCAGAAGACGGGCTGATCTGAATTTAAGCAAACCCTGAGCAAATGAAACTAAACTACATCTCACTGGACTTTTAAGCTGTTTTTTTGTTTTGTTTTGTTATGTTTTTTTTTTTTTTTTTGGTTGTTGGAGTCAGGGTTTCTCTATGTAGCCCTGGCTGTCCTGGAACTCGATTTGTAGACCAAGCTGGCCTGAAACTCACAGAGATCCACTAGCCTCTGCCTTCCTAGTGCTGGGAGTAGAGGCATGTGCCACCACCGCCCGGGGGAGTTGTTGAAAGACTCTGGGGTTTTAAAACTGTACCGTACTTTACACTATAGTATTAACAAGGTATCTTGGGGACAAGAAATTGAAAGGTTCTATTTTAAAAGTTATCTGTTTAGGAGCTGGCGAGACGGCTCAGCCAGTAAGAGCACTCACTGCTCTTGCAGGGGATGTGAGTAGAGTTCCCAGCATCCCCTTGTTCTCACAACCACCTTTAACTCCAGTGCCGGGAGAGTCAGTGCCTTCTTCTGATGTCTATGGGCCCCAGGCATGCATACGGTGCATGTAAACATGCATACACATAAAATAAAAAGAAATCTTAGAACACACATACGGCTCAGCTTTAGGGTTGAAGAGATGGCTCAGTGGTCCAAGCACTTGCCAGACACGCACGACAACAAGGGTTGGTATCCCTGGAAACCTGTGTAAATGCCAGGTGGATGTGCGGCCCGCTGTAATTCTAGCCGTGGAAGGTAGAGAAAGGGGGATGCCCAGAGCAAGGCGGCTAATAAGACTAGTCATGTCAGCTTCCTCTGTGCCCAATGTCAACCTTGCCTGCCGCACGCATATGCCCCTCCACATGTACGTGTTACCCCCCCCCACACACACACACACAGACAGCCAAGGTACCTTTTGTGCTTCTGAGGAAGAACACCACGGTCTGTTCCAGAAACTCCTCTGGGATGGGGGTGCAGCTCACATGCAAGTCCAGCCTGTTGATGATGCGCTTCACGAACTTCTGAAATACACGAGTCACGGTTGGGCCGGCAGGTGCCTGCTCTGCAGAGCCCACTCTTCTCCAGCATGGAGGATCCCCTTCCGTTCTACAGCAGCCCCAAAAGAGCTACTGCGCATCCAGCCCCTGGGCCCTGAATCTGCAGCTTCTGCTAGGCAGCCCAGGGACAACCGAGAAGGCGACCTTAGGAGAGCTGGCAGCAGGCTGGGAGGGGTGGGGGCCCATTGAGAGAAACTGGCTGCCTCTGGCTAGTTGGTGGGTTTGTTGTTTCTGGGACTTTGGGAGGGCACCTTAAGTATTTCTTTTTAAAAGACTGTTTTCTTGGGATTGGAGAGAGGGTTCCGCAGTTAAGAGCACTGGCTGGTCTTCCCGAGGACCCAGGTGCAGTCCCCAGCACCCACGTGGTGGTTCACAACCACCTGTAACTCCAGTTCCAAGGTGTCCTGGCCTCTGAGGGCACCGGGCATGCATGTGGCGCACAGTCATACGTGCGGGCAAAACACCCACACAAATAAAATAATCAAATAGAATTTTCATATATAAACAAATGTTTGGGGTTTTTAAAGATTTCTTATTTTCCTGTGTATGAGTGCCTTGCCTGCATGCTTGTCCGTGTACCGTGTGAGCCACTATCTGTCTTCCTCCTTTCTCTGTCAGCCAACACTGCTGCTGGGAGTCCCTCAGCCGGTAAGGAATCTAAGGGTGTTCTGGGAAATCTCAACCCAAGATTCTGGCGTCCCTGCTCTAACACATGGTCTCACATGCTCAGTGCCTGTCACCCTGCCTTCTGAGCACCCCCTGAGCCACTCTGACAACAAGCTGGAGAGTAGGGCGCACCTTGCCCGATGGTTTGTCTGGGTGCTCGCTGTCGAAGTCATCATCATCCATATCAAACAGGGAGGGCGCTATGGAGTCGTTTCTCAGCTTCGAGTTCTTGCCTATAAAAACACAATGCAATGAGTTGAGATGGCCAAGGTTTCCCACCAGCCGGATGCCTTCGCGTGGTACCTCCTGTCCTCCATCATATGCTCTGCAAAGGACCGGAGTGTGGCTGGCAGGAGCCCACACACCCAAAATCCTCCCTGTGGCCCACAGGTATATATATCCTGGCTGTGGTGCCCAGCAGATGATTCCTCCGAGTTGGGGTATGCATGTGCATGTGTGTGTTAACCTTACACAAGGTTTATGAATAAGAGTCACAACTAGGGGTTCTAACTCAACAGTAAGACACTTGTCTAGTGCGTTCAAGGCCCTGAGCTCCATCTTCAACTCTGCAAAACGAACAGTCAGCTGTGGTGGTGTACAGGTCACCCAGCACTCCAGAGGTGGAGACAGAGGATCAAGAGTTCAAGGTCATCTTTGGCTACAGAATTCAAGGCCAGCCTGGGCTATAAGAGTGTCAGTCTCAAAAAATTAGAGATGATAGCTGAACTATTTCAGAGGTTAAGAGCACTTGCTGTTATTCGAGGGGACCTGGGTTTTGTTCCCAGTACCCACACGGCAGTTCACAACTGTCTGTCACTCCAGTTCCCTGTCTTCAGACACCCTCTACTGGATTCCACAGGCACTGCATACACATGGTGTGCATACACACATGCAGCTGCCAAAAACACGCTCACGGGTATGCTTGGTGTCACTGGAGGTAGTTAAAGCTGGGCTGGGGTAGTAAGAAGGCCGCTTGTTCATTCCCTGACCACCCAGACTCCCAAAATAACCACACAGAAACTGTATTGATTAAATCACTGTTTGGCCTATTAGCTCTAACTTCTTATTGGCTAGCTTTTACATCTTAATTTGGCCCATTTTCATTATTTTATATTTTACCTCAAGGCTCATGGCCTACCAGCAATGTTCCAACCATGTCTGTCTCCGGTGGTGGCTCCATGGCTTCTCCTGACTCTACCTTCTTTCTCCCAGCATTCAGTTTAGTTTTCCCCGCCTAGCTCTGCTCTACCCTATCACAGGCCCAAAACAGCTTCTTTATTAACCAATGGTTTCCACAGCACACAGAGGGGAAATCCCACATCAGGCTGGGGTTGAGATGATGAATGGCTCAGTTGGGAAAGTGTTTCCAGTATAAGCCTGAGGACCCGAACTCCAGCACTGTAGAAAGGCAGGTGTGGGGGCACATGTTTGCAATTCCAGCACTGGGGAGGCTGAGACAGAAGGGCCACTGTGGCTCACTGGCCAGCCTAGCCTAGTAGGTGAGTTCCAGGACAGTGAGAGATCTTGTCTCTGAGAACACGGCAGACAGCTCCAGAGGAAGGACACCTAAGGTTATCCTGTGGCCTCCATAGGTGCATGTGAACATATGTAATTTTATATGCACGCATGCACAGCACGCTTACCTGCATGGGTGCATGTGAATGTACACAGTTTTATATGCACGCATGCACAGCATGCTTACCTGTGTGGGTGCAAGTGTGCATATACACACCAATAAACAAACTGTTAGTACTGAGTTTTATGCAGCATGAATAATAAAAACCCAGAGACAGATATTGGGGTCCATCCTGAAGATCAGAAAAGCAAAGCAGCCAGCCACTAGAGAGCTGTCATCGCTATGAAATCTTCAGACTGAAAGAGAAAGTTCCTTCTCATCACACTTTACATTCCTCCCTAGTGCTGGGATTAAAGGCATGCACCACCATCACCAGGCCTCTATGGCTAACTAGTGTGGCTGCTGGGATTAAAGGTGTGTGTCACCACTGCCTGCCCTGTATGGATGACTAGTGTGGCAGTTTTGCATTCTATTTTTCAGGCAAGCTTTATTTATTAAAATACAAATGAAATATCACTACATTTTCCCTTTCTGTCTAAAATTTTAAAAGGAAGGCTATACTAATATAAGAAAACTACATAAAATAAATACAGTAACTATATATAAATATATTCAGGCAATAAATACATCATCAATGTCTAGTCCATTTGCATTTAACAAATTCAGAGAAAATTCACCATATCTATCCTACCTTGGTGAGCCCAAAGTCTTGTACCTAATTTACTTTCTGTCATAACGTGCTTTCTGTGTCTGGCAAACAAGGAAAACTATAACTTTTTAGTCTTTAACTCTCTCAGAGACCCAAGAAGGAAATAATATTAACTGAGTAAGCAGGAAGTGTGAACAGGCAACTTCTAAAAAGTGAGAAATGACAAAACAGCTGGCTGCCTGGACAATCACCCAATGTTGGGCGTCCATCTTCAACCGACAGGCCTGGACAGACTTTTCTGTAAAGCAGGATATTCTCAAAGGCTGCCCCTCCTTGTCTGGACAATGTTTGACAGTCACTCTCTTCTGTGTCCTGCTTGTCCAATTAAGACAGCACACTGTCAGCAGTTGAGGCAAGGGCATTTTCTTGCCACAAAGAAAGTAAACTCCACATGGAGTTTCTTCAATGCCTGTTATCTCCTCTGAAGTAGATTGGTGCTGCCAGGAGCAAACATGTCTGATTGTAATAAAAAAAAAAAACTTATGTGATTAAAACATCTTAAATGTCATATTCTGTAGATCTCTGAAGTGTTTGAAAAATGACCTGTCTAAAATATATCTTTGTTTGACCTGGCAAATATACCTAATGTGACTATAAGTTCAATTATAATAGGTGGACAGAATCGTAATTGTAATCCGCCTTTCCTGACTTATTTGCATCAGGATAGAATGTAGGGACATTATTGGTGTGTTCCATACAATGAGGGGAAGGATCCAATTAGTTCTCTTTATAAGTCGAATTTTCTTGCTGTCAGGACAGTTGTTGCTAATCCCTTCCCCCAAAATTACTACAAACTCTTTGCCAGTGTTCACTTTCTTCCCATCATTTGTCAATTTCATCACTATTTAAAGGCACTATAATTTCTGCTGGGTCTATTCCTGCTAATTGACAAAGTATCAATTTTCCTTTTAGAATTAACTCAGAGAGATTTTCCACATAAATTTTTAACTTTTTACTCAGTTTATGTGGTTAAAAAGATCCATTCTAGCTGGGCGATGGTGGCGCATGCCTTTAATCCCAGCACTCAGGAGGCAGAGGCAGGCGGATCTCTGTGAGTTCGAGGCCAGCCTGGTCTACAGAGCTAGTTCCAGGACAGGCTCCAAAGTCACAGTGAAACCCTGTCTCGAAAAACCAAAAAAATAAATAAATAAATAAATAAATAAATAAATAAATAAATTGAAAAAATCCATTCTAAAATAACATCTTCCTTCTACATTAAAATTCCTGTAGGGGAATATTTGGATGGCAACATGACCAGACTGCTGTTAAGATTCAGATCCACACAATCCACATGTACCTACTGCACTTTCTCTTCAATCAAAGCCAATTCTCTCTCAGCTTTGACTGATAATTCCCTGGGACTATTTAAGTCCTTGTTACCATCTAAGGTTTTGTTTAAATTAATCAGGTCATCAGGACCTAGTCCAATAGTGCACCATAGATGGGAAATGTCTCCAAGCAATCTTTAGAAGTCATTAAGAGTCTGCAATCGATCTCTCCTAATTTGTACCTTTTGGGATCTAATTTTTATAAACCTATTTTATAGCCTAAATAATTAATAGAATCTCCTCTTTGTATTTTTTTTTCAGGAGTAATTTGTAATCCCTAGCAGGCAATTTTTTTTTTACTTCTTCAAACATTCTTTCTAATGTATCTATGTTTAAATCAAATAGCAAAATGCTGTCTGATGGAGGAGGGTCATCTTTCTATCTGTTGTTTCATTGGTTAACTAAAGAAACTGCTTGGCTTCTGATAGGGTAAAATTTAGATAGGCGGAGTAAACAGAACAGAATGCTGGGAGAAAGAAGCTGAGTCAGGGAGTTGCCATGATTCTCCCACTCCAGGCAGACTCAGGTTAAGATCTTTCCTGGTAAGCCACCTCGTGGGCTACACAGATTATTAGAAATGGGTTAGTTCAATATGTAAGAGCTAGCTAATAAGAGGCTGGAACTAATGGGCCAGGCAGTGTTTAAAAGAATACAGTTTCCGTGTAATTATTTCGGGTAAAGCTAGCCGTGCAGGCGACTGGGTGCAGGGAAAGTAGCCCACCGCGCATAACACAACATAGTGGCGCCCAGACGTGATGGGCTAAATCCACTTAAAAACCTGAGAGAGCTTAATTTTAAACAGAGAAAAAACAGAGTTTAACGCAGAGTTTTGCTCTTTGTTGGTACAACAGCTGTCCACGTAATGATAAACTAGAGATTCAGGAAATTGCTTTCATATAATTTCCAATGGCTTGACTCGTAAAATATTGGCACAGGATAGGCTTATTTAACATTCCTATGGGAAAACCTTCCGTTGATATCTTTTAGCAGGCAGAAATTATTATAAGAAAGCTCTGTGAAGGCAAATTTTTCTGTCTTTTTCTTGTAAAATCTTTTAAAACAATAACTATAAGAGGCCATCCTCTAAGCAATAGAGAAGGCAGAGGAATTCCAGACTGTAAAGAGTCCATTGGCTGAATGACCTTATTAACAGCTCTTAGATCTGTTACCATTCTCCATTTTCCAGATTTCTTTTTAACAACAAATACAGTATAATTCCAAGGGCTGGTTGGTTCTTCAATATGTTGAGCATCTAGTTGCTCCTGTGCCAACTGTTCCAAAGCCTGCAGTTTCTCTGTTGTTAAAGGCCATTGCTTAACCCACACAGGTCTGTCTATCAACCATTTTATAGGTAGGGCTGTTGGTGCCTTTGAAATATCAGCAGCTGTCATGCCCTGTTCTTGTACAACCTGAATGATCGGTGACTGTTCCCAGAAACATACATTAATTTATGGCTTTTTTCTAAGATTGGGAGAATGTTAATCTGAATATTCCATTGCTGTAACAAATCTTGTCCCCACAAATTCATTGCTATATTAGCTACATATGGTTTCAATATTCCTCTCTGACCCTCTGGCCCCATACATTCAACACATCTCGTGCTCTGCTTTACCTGAGATAAAGTTCCAATCCCTAAAATCTGAACATTTACATCCTGAAGAGGTCAATTTGGATGCCAAGATTCTGATGTTATACCCATACCTTTGTCTACCAGACTGCCAATGACATCATTTATTTGTATTTTTAATTTTGGTCTTTGTTCATTTATCTAACTTTGCCAAGATCCTCACTTTATGATTTCTCCTGATTTTTTTGTTCTCTCTTCTATAACTGTTCTGTTATCCAGAGCAGTATGGTTTCTTACAATAGGCGTTAGGTTCTTTAATTGCTCTGGAAAGGAGTTTCCTCTACAATGGCAGGAAATGACTAAACCAAATTTGGCATAGAGGCCTGAGAGAAGGCCCCTCACAGAGTTTCCCAATGGCAAAGGACGAACATGAGTATTCCTCCTTGACCTACAATTCAATAGTCCAATACCTTTGCTGTACCTTCTGCATAATCCAGAAGGGAGGGGCCTTCTGTGTGGTTTACTCTTAGAAAAAAATTGTTTCTAGGAATGCCCTGTCTACAATCCCTCTTAAGGTGACCTTATTTGCCACAGTTATAACTTTTGACATTTTGATGTTTCCTCGACCCTCTGGAAATCGCCTCTCCTATCCATGTATCATCATGTCATGAGGTTCAATATTAATTGTATCTCAAATCCATTCCTCCAAAGGTGTTGACCTTGCCTTTACTAGCCTAATTATCCTTTTGCATAGAGAATTACCATTTTCAAAAGTCAGAGATTCGACTCTTATTTGTTTATTTACTGAAGTCGATCTTTATAAGAAATCTGCAAAGGCTTCCTTTGGGCTCTGTATAACTTTAGTAAATGACTCAATTTTCTTTACTATTTCTCCACTTCTTTCCCGAGCATTCAAAGCTGCTGCATGGCATAAACCCAGAGTGTGGTCATCACATATAGCCTGCCTTTCTATAGTAGCATAATCTCTTTCTCCAAGAATTTGATCTTGGGAGATTTCCCTACCTCTAGCTTTACTCCGTTGTTCAATAGTCTCAGCCTCTTCTCTGAAACAGTTATTTCATTGTAATTGTGGACCAGGCTCTGAAACAGCTTTAACTAAATCTTTTACCTAAACTTTCTCTTTTACCTAATTCCTCCCTTTAAGAATTCCCAGTTGTCTTACCAAACTTACCAAAGACATAGATGAAGACATGAGGCTTATTGCTACTGAGTAGAACAGTAAAAGCTTGACTGGATTTCAAGGTAGCTACCTAGTTTTGGCAGTAGGGCAAGAAAGGGTTCAGAGAGAGCCTGCAACATACAGCTGGGAAGAGAGTGGCTATAATCTCAGGTGAGGTGATTTAGTGACAGAGTCTGTGAGAGAGAGAGAGAGAGAGAGAGAGAGAGAGAGAGAGAGAGAGAGAGAGAGAGAGAGAGAGAGAGAGAGAGAGGTCTGAAAAACACACAGGGGATTTTGGGAAAAGCATGAGTGGCCGAGAGCTGCCTGAAGGAAGAACCAGTCAGTCTAGGGCCAGCGAGTCCTGTGGCGTTTAGAGCCCAGGTGCTTCTGGAGTTTGGGTGGCAACTGGAGACTGTTTTGGAGAGGCTACAACAGAAAAAGCCCAAACTTACTCAGAGACTTGGGGGGAAAAGAAAAGAAAGTCTAGCTGGGTAGGGCTGGAGCCCCATGTGAAGCTCTAGCCTGTGCCAGTGGCTTCTTCACGAATTCATACCCCAAATGCTGGGTACCAAATGTAACATGAATAATAAAATGCCAGAGACATTTGAACCCAGAGATATTGGGTTCAACCTGAAGATCAGGAACGCAAAGGCAGCCAAGCCACTAGAGAGCTCTTAACTCTTTGAAATCTTCAGCCTTATATTCCTCTCTAGTGCTGGGATTAGAGGCGTGCACCACCACCACCACCACCACCACCACCTGGCCTTTATGGCAAACTAGTATGGCTGCTGGGATTAAAGGTGTGTGTCACTGCTGCCTGGCCTGTATGGCTGGCTAGTGTGGCTGTTTTGCATTCTATTCTTCAGGCAAGCTTTATTTATTAAAATACAAATGAAATATTACTACAGTTTTATGCTATGGGTTTTGTTCCTTTGCTTTTTAAAAGTAGCCCAGGCTAGATCAAACTTACTACTGAGGCCTTGTCTTAAAAAAGAAAGAAAAAAAAAGAATCCCTATTTTGTTCCTAAATTTGACCAACACACACATACACACAACACACACACACGCACACGCGCACGCGCACACACACGCACGCGCACACACAAGCACTGCCTCAATCTTTGCCTGGGTAAGGGAAGTGGCAGTGTAAGTCCAGATGAGGACTAGTGTACCCACAAGCCAAGGGATGCCAGTGGCAGCAGCAGCTGAATGAGGTAAGGTGGGGTCTTCCCTAAAGCTTCCAGAGAGGTATGACCCTGGGGACACCTCGGGCCTCTGGGCCTGAGATATTTCTGCTGTTTTCTGCTGTTCTATTAAGGCCGTGTGACAGTAGTTCAGGGACCCTAGTGTACATATCCACCAACAGCTCCACAGACCCCCGTGTAGAAGTGGCTTCTGTCCCTCCAGACACTCACTTGTCACCTTATCGGGACCCTCTTCTTTCTGAGATTCAGTCTCATCTTCCTCTGCCTCCTCTTCAGAGACCACAGGAATTTCTTCTTTATGGATCCAGGATGGGGAAGAAAATACAAAATAATATTTTTCCCCAACGAGACAGTTGCCAAACCTTTGCTTTACGTGGAGCCAAAGGGTAGGGACACACCCCACATGGGTTCATAAATGTCACTGCAAAACATCATGGTGCTGAGGCCAGCATGGAAAATTGTGCCAGTTGAGAAGAGGGTTGAGGACACGCCTTTGCCGGTATGAGAGCGGCTTGGTCCACCACACCATAGCATGTTCTGCAGCACTGGGCGCAGTCTGGAGACTGTTCCAATGAACCCAGTGTGCCAGTGAGGCCTGCAAGCTCTGGGCTCCGGAGGTGGAAACAGAGGTTCAAGGCTAACTGCCCACTAATAGCAAGTTCAAGGCCAGTCTGGTCTCCACAACGCCCTGACTCAGAGATGCCCCAGGGGATGCTTTGAAGTGAGACCCAATCACTGTGGAGTGAAGGCACCCAGGCAGGTGGCTGCAATAGCTGCAGTAAGAGCAGACCCAGCAGGAGACAATCGCCTGCTGCTGGACCTCTTAGAGACTGCAAGAAATTAAGGTCGTGGTGCAGGGTTTTTGCTTTCTAAATATGTACAGAATCCCACTACTGTATCTGGAAATCTGTGCTTTTATTTGTTTGCAATAAATGGGCCTCACCCAGAGGCCCGGGATAATGTGTTCAGATTCAAAGTTCCACTTGGGGAAGAAAATAAAAGCCGGGATGGTTAGATTCTAGTGCGGCTGAGGCAGGAGAGCTGAGAGTTTGAGGGCACCTTGAGCTGCACGGTGAATTCCAGGCCAGACTGGGCTATGAGCCCCTGTCTCGCAGTGTAATAAATGATGAAGATAAGGTAAATGAGAGCAGGGCGCAGTGTGTCCTGACGCTAGGTCCCTCCCGCTCTAATCTCTCTCTCCCTTTCCTGCCTCTCGCTGGCTGTGGAGTTCCGGTGATCCTGAGCTTGCCATGGTCCTCGGGCGATCCTACCTCAGCAGGGATTGCAGTCAGGCGGCACTTCGGCCTGCTGCCGCTTTTTAGAGTAGGGGGCTAGGCATGGAAGGTGAGCTCCCCTGAGCCTCTGCAGATCCTGGCCTTGGGACCCTCCCGCTGAGAGGCTTCTTACAGGACAAGAGATTCTGGGCCTCCTCTGTGTCCCCAGCAGATGTGCAACACAGCGCCGTTGAGAGTGAGGATAGCAACGCCTCCCTCTAAGGCCCCCGGGCGCATAGTAGGGCTAAATGCCAGCAGGGTGCTGACTGTAGGCTGGCCTTTGCCAAGGCTCACCAATCTCCACCTCCACCTCCTCGGGCACCAGGACGCGGTAGAAGAACAGCGTGGAGGCGCAGTCCTCGTCCGTTGCGTGGTTGAGGAAGTGAAGGATGAGGTCCTCCGCCTCACTGTCGTTGCGACTCAGCAGGTCCTCGAACAGTTTGGGGTTGGTGAGGCCGAAGGTCGTGTACACTCGGTCGCGCATCCACAGAACCCGCAAGTCGTCCATGGCGCAGACTTGAGCGGTGCAGGACGCGGGGAGGTCAGAGCCGGGAGCCGGGCGGCGTCCGTGGTAACGGCGCCCCTAGCAACGGGCACCTGGGCGACAGCGTAGGCGCTGGCAGCACCAGCGTGAGGCTGAAGGCCCTCCATTCTGCAGGTAGGAAAACTGAAGTGCAAGAAAGCTGGTTTCTGAGGCGTGACAAGGGCACGGCTCTGAGGCGGAGCCAGGCGGGACTAGAAGCAGTAAGCTGTTGATGCAAACCTACACTTAGTTGGGAAAAGAGAATCTCAATGAGGAATTACCAATATCAGATGGGCCTATAGAACCTTTTCTTGTTTGCTGGTGCTGGACTGACCGCTGAGCAAGCCCTGGGGAGCAAACCAGCGCTCAGTGCTCTCCTCCAGGGTCTTGCTTCAGTTCCTGCTGCAGCTTCTGCCCTTAATGATGGAGTATAACCTAGGATCAAATGAACCCTTTCTTCCCCAACGTGTTTTTGGCTGGTGTTTATCACAGCAACAGAAGCGAACCAAGCAGGACAGGCAGGAGGGACTGGTCTCAGTGATTAGGCGCTGTGAGAACACCTGTGTGTTCCAGGTAGGGCAAGGCGAACACCAGTGGGGCCCTAGAAATGGACTGGCTCTTCCTGGCATAGGGGGTTAGGGAACAGGATCACAAGAAAACAAGACACTGGCATCTCAAAAATATATTTTTATTTGTCACTAGCAAAAGGAAGTTCCATACTGACAGGAGATTAGTCCTTCATGAGTCTGCAGGACGCAGTCCTGACTGGCTCCCGTAGTTCCTGTGGATTTTGTGGTGTCCGAGCAGAGCCGGGCAGCTGCAGTCCTGGGGTGGAACAGACATCACTCCAAACTCCCGACTTAAAGCATCAGGACAGTTCTTAAGGTCTGCCTGGAGAGTACGGCATGCGAGCAACCCCAGATTAAAAACTTCAGTAGAGAAATAAACGGCTGAAGCTTTTTTTGGGTTTTTATTTCCCAAATGGGTCAAACTCTAAATCACAGCTTGATTCGCCAACCCCGTAAGTTATCAACAGATAGTCTACGGCCTATGCCAGAGCACTGGGCCTGAATGCCAGTACAGTACAGCTACTCCCAGTCAAGGCCAGCACTGCCTACCTGCAGTGCTAGCTGAGAGTCGAGGCAAGAGAGGTACAAGTCCAAGGCCTGCATAGGTGGCATTAAACATCTCGAAACATACAGACCATTCTAGAGCTGAGGCCAGGAGAGGACTTGGAGGGAAACGGAATCTGTCCCAGGCCCCATGGTGAGAGAGTCCAAGTGCTCAAACCCCTTTGCCTGCTTCTACTGGCCATATCCGGCCTCTCCACCAACTTCGGAAGCCTACGTGACGCAGTGAACACCTGAACAGACGGCATGGCTCTGCTGTGATAGGGAGGACGAACATCACACCACCCAGGCAGTTGCTTGCTTCCCTCTGTATGATGCCATCAATCATGTTTCCAGGGGGTTCACAAAAGGAGTAATTTGCCGGGCGATGGTGGCGCACGCCTTTAATCCCAGCACTCGGGAGGCAGAGGCAGGCGGATCTCTGTGAGTTCGAGGCCAGCCTGGTCTACAAGAGCTAGTTCCAGGACAGGCTCCAAAGCTACAGAGGAACCCTGTCTCGAAAAAAACAAACAAACAAAAAGAGTAATTTGTTTATGTAATTACACTCCGTATAACTCTGACAGACCTCGGCTGAGAAGCCACTCTCTCACCCCAGTAAGAGATGCTAGTTACTTGAAAAGTGGCCCCATCACAACTGCCAAGAAGGACAGTGAACATGGCCAAAACTGCATCTCCTGTCTTTATCCCTGGAATCAGTTATCTCTGTGAGGACCAGAGACCCTGGGGGACCAGTAACGAGAGTGACATTGTGGGAGTGACAACGGATCTGAGGAAGGGTAGGTTTAACACTGGGCAGCAGCACCTCATCCCAGCCGCAGTAGGCTTGGCATCACAGCTGCCAGGAAGCTGGCACACAGGGCACAGATGCTGGAGTTCACTGCCCACCAGTGCAGGCTCCGCTGCAGCTAAAAAGGAGTGACTTACAGTCCAGCTGCGGCACGGGCGGTTCACTGTCTCAGCAAGCAGGCCTCACAGAGTGGTGGGGCAGGGGGATGAACGGGACCTCTGCAGTAGCATGTGAGTCAAAATTTCAAGAGGGCAGAAACATGTTAGGTTCCCTTTTCTCTTTAGGATGCCATGTAGCCTTGACTGGCCTCAGGCTGACCACACAGCCAAGGGTAACCCCCCTGCCTCCACCCTCTGAGTGCTAGGAACACAAGGTGATTCTGGGGATCTGGCAACCAAGCCACATCCCAGCCGCAGACTTCTTTTCTGAAATACTTAATCTAAAACCAGTTAATGTAAAATGTGAGAATGAACAAATTTATGAGCCTATGACAGGGATCAGGGCTCTGCAGGGCTAAGTGACACAGGAGCAGGTGATCTCTGCTCAAGATGACGAATAAACAGATTGGTGAGAATTAGTTCTCAACTGACCTCAAGAGTTTTTACAAATTAAACTGTGGCCATCAGACCTTTATTTAGAATCACTGTGAAAGTAAAAAATTACACTGTCCCCAGCAGAAGCAAGGTCTCCGTGGCAAAATAGCTTCATTTGTTCTTTGCTACAAAAATACACATTACTTTCACCTGTCTTCTCTGCAGCCACACCGGGATTTAAGGCTCCGAACGTTCAACTGTCATGACTGGGCTGACAAAGGTAACGGGGCAGGGCTCTTGTAAGAACGAGCAGGAGAGCCATCTGCTGTGCTGTGCTGTGCTGTCCCTGTCCCTCCTGTGGCTCTGACAGCATCCAGGCAGACACACATTCTTGAGCCAGCAGGGTGCGGGGATCTGCTGATGGCCCAGCAGAATGTCTGAAGAAAACTATGGTATCTGACGTCTTCTCGTGATGGAACAACTCTGTGTTTTTTTAAAGTTGAAAGGGAATCAAGAATCTAAAAACAATTTTAGCTAGCCATTCAGCTGGCTTTTCTCCTCCAATTGTACACTTATTAAAAAAATATCTTTAATGTAATGTTGGCATAGCTTACATTTGCTCATAATAAAAACCAATGAAATTTCTGTGTCCGAAGTGGTGAGCTTTACAAAATCTTCAACACAAGGAGAGGTGTATCTCACAGAATCATTGGCTGAGTCGTAAGGCAATCATCGAGGGTGGAATTTTCCCGTCAGAAATCTGACTGGAGGGAATTGTGTAACATGATCATTTTCCATAGCCCTGAGAGCGGACGGCTGCAGCCATGTGATCATGCAATGTCATCGTCATTACAGAACTTGGAGGAGAGCAAACTGAAGGAGAAAGGAACAAATTTGGTGCCTGCACCAACGTAGAATTTGTTCTGAAATTCAACCCTACAAAAAGAAAAACAAATATGTATTAGAAACGCCATGCCTTCCCCACCATGGACTGCACACAGAACTGTGAGTGAAATGATGTTCCTAAGTTCTTTAAAGAAGAAGGTCCACCATAGACCTAGACAGACTGGACCGAGCTCCTTAGCTCTTCTATGCACACACTGGGATAAAATCTCCCCATTTCTTCGCATTCCTGTCATGAACATGTTCCCCTGTCATTCTCTCCCGAGTCCACACTGGCTTCCCCATCTAGCCAGGCTCCCATGTGTCACCTCAACACCCTGTCCCCTGCTCCCTCCACCCTAGGTGTCAGCTCCCATAACCAGACACAGGAAAAGACACCAGGACTCCCCTGTCACACTGGCTACCGGAACCTCAGAGCAGCAGCCAGGCACACATACTGAGTAGCGTTGAGAATACCCTGGAGGCTCAGGGGTACAGGCATGTGACACCAAGCCTAACAACCAGCGTTCAATCCCCAGGACACACAATAAAAAGACAACCAGCTCCTGCAAGTTGACTTCTGCCCCCACAACAAGGAAGGTACTAATCCAGAAGCCAGTGACACCTGCCAGTCCCAGTGTAAATAAAAGTGGGAACATACACACGCTGGGCATGGTGGCACCTGTCTGTAATCCCAGCACTCGGGAGGGAGGCAGTGGCAAGCAGATCTCTGAGCTTGAGGCCAGCCTGGTCTACACAGCAAGACCCTATCTCAAAAAAATAAAAACAATGACAATAACAAAAAGGGAGAACACACTATTGCATCACAGATAGAAATGTTCTTTTACTTGTGATAAATTGCATTGTGTTTCTAAACTGCTATTTCACAGCTAGGTGGGAGGAGCTAGCCATCATAAGCACTGCGTTTAGAAAGGGGTTTTACATACATGTATATTAGTTATTAACATGTGCACATGTGACTGTCAGGGGACAGCTGTTGGGCATCGGTTCTCTCCGTCCCCATGCAGGTCCTGCTGACTGAACTGGGCTTGGGAGCAGGTATCTGTACCCACTGAGCCTTCCTGCCAGTTCCTGCACCCTTTCAAAAGATTTATTATGCGTGTATAGCACTGCATGTCCTGTGTATGTGCACCCGAGTGCAGGTGCCTGCAGAGACCGGAGCACCCACTGGAAGCCTTATGCTGGAGTGACAGGAAGCCGTGAGGCACCTGATATGGGCGCTGGGAACTGAATGTGGGTCCTCTGAAAGTAGAGCTCACTCTCAGCCACGAGTCATCTCTCTAGCCCTCATTTCCACTTTTAAAACACGTTCTGAGGATACATGTCACACTCACCAGTGAAGGCGTATGGCGTGGAGAAATGCAGAAAGCCCTTCCATGACCAGAAGGATAAAAATAGTCAAAACTGCAAAGAAAGCCATGACAGGCAGCAGCAGCAAGACCCCGTAGGTGGTGTCCACACGCAGGCCCACACGCATCAGCATGGCCCACAGCACATCAGACAGCTCTGCAAAGGAAGCCGTTGAGCAGAGTTCAGTCTGAAAACATCAGCCCTCTCACCACCCTCGGGATAGCAGGAATGACTACCAGTCAGCCTACCCCCAGAGCAGAAGACCCGAACCTCCTTGCTTTCTCTGTGAAGAACAACAATCTTAGGGGGCTCCATCGTCCCTTCCTATTGCTAATTCAGCAAGTTCAGGGTCTGGACCCAGACTGAGAGTCCTGTCTGAACCTAGCAAGGTTCCTGTTTCAAGTCTGGGTCTGCTGCCAACAAGCGGCCTCTTCACCCTCACTGTCTTTGGACACAGAGGGCCTCACTCTGTCCCATGTTGGTCAGTACCCTCTTGTGACTACCTATCTCTGCCACATGTCCCAGGGCTTTGTCATGGAATACAAACGCAACACAACTTCATGTTCTACTGTTAGTGAAGTAAATTCATTTAGTGACCAGTTACCTCCAGGCTGGAGCAAAGGTGACATGGCTCTCACTACAACTGTCAGGGTAATTGTCAGGTGTGTCTCACACAGAGGCCGAGTCACGCTGGGCTCAGCTGCCCATGAACAACCGTGCATGAGGACTCACTAGGAGTCTGAGCTACAGCTCAGCAGCTGCCACAATCACTTGAAATAAAGACGCCACTCAGTGAGTAAGCAATGGCTAGGATACACTGGGACACATGAACTGGAGGAGAGCATCCATGTCAGAGGTCACCAGGCCCTCAGTTCACAGAGCCCTTCTGCGCCTAGGCCAGGACTGGGACCTGCGTGATCGGAAGGTGGGTCAAAACAACAAAGAGCCCTGATCCACCACCACCTGGAGAGCTTACACACTCCATGGAGCTAAGCAACATACGTGCATGCGCCAGGCTGAGGGCCCAAAGCCTCAGGTAGGACGCGGTGTTGGAGATGCAGCCAAGGCAGTACTCAATGGAGTGGATGGTCTGCGTCATCAGGATCTCCCCAAAGTTAAACTGAGGGACAACAGAGAACATTAGATACCATATCACAAACCTGCTCCACTCTGAGTCCCTGGCCAGCCTCAAGGATAGAGCATGCCAATGCCAGAAAGAGCAGGTCCGAGATTGAGTCCTGCTCTCAGTGGGAGTGGGACTCACCGGCCCCCTCCCCACACGAGCTCCCTGACTGTACTCAAGCTTCAGTCCCCTCTCTACGACCCAAGCACCAGCCTAGAACTGCGCCCGCCACAAAAGCCCATGGTGGAGACCTCAGTGACACCTGAACCAGCTCCCAAACTAGCTGGCACTCCCATGGGCATTCCCCAGCTACAGGTGCACAGGGGAAGCTCATGTCTGAGGCTGGGGAGGGAGGGAGGGAGGGGGTGCTGTCCCCATGAGGGGAGGGACTGCAGCACCCTGGCTCTTCCCACTCTGCTTTCTTTGCTCTGTGAACTTGACCCGAATGAAAATTGCGGTACACAATAACCAGACAACCACACTTGCGCAGTCAATAACCAGCTTCCCCTCTCACCCGACCCATCAGCTCAAGCTCACCTCCTCACACGTCACTTCCCGGCAGCCTTCCTCCATACGGTTGCTCCCCTCTTCTATGTCCTGGCTGCCCAGCAAAGAAACCTCTTCTTCACTGTCCTTCCTTACAAGTGTGTAACCGCTCTAATGATAAAAGAGCAGTGTCAAAGAACAAGGGCGGGAAGTGGAGAATAATAAGTGTTGGCAAGGATCAAGAAACTGGAAGCCTAGAGCATTCCTGCTGGAGTTTATAATGGTCCAGCTGCTAGAGAAGTATGGCAGGTCCTCAAAACGCAAATGCAGACGTGCCCCGTGACCTGGCACCTCCACTTCTACACCCAGGAGTGCCCATGGAGAGACTTGAGGGAACGCCTGTGCGAACATGTTGTAACAGTATTATTCCCCAGCTGCAGCCCAACAGCAACATCCAGGCTCTAAATGAGGCCAGCTGTGGAGGAATCAGAACCTCAGGACGCGGGGAGCGCACTTACCCGGCTCACACCAAAGCAACTGCGCCCATTGTGCAGCCACAGCAGGAAGAGCGGCTTTCCTAAGAAGAGCACAGGGACGGCCAGCACAGTGAGGGCCAGCAACACTCTCTGGACATGCGCCTGCGGGTGTAGGGGAGAAGGCAGGAAGATGGAAGAGCAGCACCGTGTCATGGGGCGTGGAGTAGATTGTGAGGGCCGGGGGCACAAGACAGATGACTGCTAAGTCCTGTGACCAAGGGACCCTCTGCACTTCTTCCAGCTCCCAACATTCAGGACACAGCACTGAAATGCTGCTTTGAAAACAGTAAAATGCTTTAAGCCGGGCGGTGGTGGCGCACGCCTTTAATCCCAGCACTCGGGAGGCAGAGGCAGGCGGATCTCTGTGAGTTCGAGACCAGCCTGGTCTACAAGAGCTAGTTCCAGGACAGGCTCCAAAGCCACAGAGAAACCCTGTCTCGAAAAAAAATAAAAATAAAAATAAGAAAACAGTAAAATGCTTTAAGCCGGGCGGTGGTGGCGCACGCCTTTAATCCCAGCACTCGGGAGGCAGAGGCAGGCGGATCTCTGTGAGTTCGAGACCAGCCTGGTCTACAAGAGCTAGTTCCAGGACAGGCTCCAAAGCCACAGAGAAACCCTGTCTCGAAAAAAAATAAAAATAAAAATAAGAAAACAGTAAAATGCTTTAGAAGAAATCTAAATGGAGGTTTTGGTAATGCCTCAGTCTGAATGAGTTCGAAGCCCGCTGTGGCTGTGCAAGCTTGTGTGTGACCCAGCCCTTGGGAAGCAGAGGCAGGAAGAGCTCCTGGGGCTCGATCACTGGTCACCCTGGCCTACTCTGACAATTCCAGGTCAGGGATAGACTATCACACACATACATGAACACGCACATGCACACACACACACACGACAAGAATAACAACAAAAAAGAGAGGTGCGTGGTGCCTGAGGAATGGCATCCAAATTTGACCGCTCCCTGAAGACACAGGTACCCACACTCACACAAATTCTAAGCGGGAGCTCATTTGGGCATCACACTAAAACACTGGAACCAAACAGAGCTCATCGTGGTCCCTGCGAGAAAGGGTGACATGTAAACTTATAAAGCATTCCATTACTTTTTAAAAAATCTAGCTAGAACAGTTAGGATGCACACCTTTAATCCTAGCACTCTGGAGGCAGAGGCAGGTGGAACTCTGAATTTGAGGCCAGCCTGGTCTACAAAGCTAGTTCCAGGACAGCCAGGGCTATACAGAGAAACCCTGTCTTGAAAATCAAAACAAACAAAAAAAAATCTAAATGGAGCCAAACTGTAGTTAATAACTGCCTGAGATCACTGCAAAAGGAAAACCAGGAACACTAGTAGAATCCTCTCACAATCTTGCTTTCGGTGTGGCCTTCCTTATCACAGACTACTTGGAGAAGGCTGAATGCAGGGGCTGTCACTGCCAAGCAGAGGAGAAACACTCACCTGCCCGGGGTAGAGGCCGTGTGTCTCACTGGACGGGAACAGGAACATGTTAATGAACTCGATCAGGATGCTGGGGGCCTCCCTAGAGGTCTTTGCCGAGTACGCCAGCCACTTGTAGATGATCATGAAGATCAGGTACCCAAAGATGGACAGCATGAACAGGATCTCAGGGACGGACACCAGGTAGATGTTAAACTTCTTCCTAAAGTGCCTGCAAGAGGGCCAATGAGGCCACTGAAAGGCTGTCGCCAGGGCACCACAGGCCGCTCCAGGGCTCCACGGGTGCCTGCTGGTTCAAGCCAGAGCTGCAGATCCCCCCCACAGAAGACAGCGACAACAGAACCACACACAAACACATTGCTATTGAGTCTGACTTCAAAATATTAGGGATTTTGCTGTGTTTTTTTTTTAAGATTTAATAATATTATTTTAATGAAATCAATTTTTAAAAATTTATTTAAGCCGGGCGGTGGTGGCGCACGCCTTTAATCCCAGCACTTGGGAGGCAGAGGCAGGCGGATCTCTGTGAGTTTGAGACAGCCTAGTATACAAGAGCTAGTTCCAGGACAGGCTCCAAAACCACAGAGAAACCCTGTCTTGAAAAACCAAAGGAAAAAAATTTATTTAATTTCTTTATGGTTGTTTTGCCTGAATGTTGTCAGTACACCATGTACATGACTTCCTGGAACTAGAGCCATAGCCAGTTTTGATGTGAGCCACCATGTGGGCACTGGGGACCAAACCCAGGTCCTCTGAAAGAGCACGAAGTGTTCTTAACCACTGAGTTGTCTCTTCAACCCCCAATTTTAAAAATTATTTTCAGCCGGGCGGTGGCGCACGCCTTTAATCCCAGCACTCGGGAGGCAGAGGCAGGTGGATCTCTGTGAGTTCGAGGCCAGCCTGGTCTATAAGAGCTAGTTCCAGGACAGGCTCCAAAGCTAAAGAGAAACCCTGTCTCAAAAAACAAACAAAATAAAATAAAATAAAATAAAAACCCAGAAGGAAAAGGTAGATGGATAATTTAATTTAAGAAAACCTGGCAAGAAACAAACCAAGCTCAGGCCAGGCATTCATAAGTAATAATAAGCCTCTGTGTGAGATTTATTTGGGAGCTGGGTCATGGGCCCCCCAAAAAGACAAAAGAATAAAATATCATACAACAGGAACGGGCAGTGGTGGCGCATGCCTTTAATCCCAGCACTCGGGAGGCAGAGGCAGGCGGATCTCTGTGAGTTCGAGGCCAGCCTGGTCTACAAGAGCTAGTTCCAGGACAGGCCCCAAAGCTACAGAGAAGCCCTGTCTTGAAAAATGAAAAAAAAAAAAATCATACAACAGGAGGGACTGCCAAAAAAAAAAAAAAGAAAGATGAAGAACAAAAAGAAAGTTAAAACATGTACTTACAAGTGGTTAAATATTCCCAGAATGACACCAAAAGTCATGTGAATAATTCCTAAAATAACAGACATTTTCATCTTGAAGGAATTGAGGAAAGTGAGGCGATTTGTGGCCAGGTTCCAAATCTAGGACCAAACCAAACAGAAGCAACGTAAGTCCGTTAGCAGGAGCTAGCGAGCTCCTACATGACTGTCACTCTCCCTTACAGAGAAAGTAACACCTTCTCTTGGTGCTTCCAACTGACTTCCCAGGCCAGGGCTTCAGTGTCAGAACCAGGGAGCCTGCTGCTCCTGAGCCAAGGCTGGAAGCATTGCTGGATCTAGCTGCAGAGTGGGCTCACCTTCCTCTCCAGATCAAACTATGAAGCAGTTCAGAACATGAAGGGTCACTTCTACCAGAGGAAAAGACTGGTAGAGATGACCATGGCCCCATGGCTCTGCCAACCACTCCTGCACTGCCCTGGTTCCCACTGACTACACTAACAGAGATACAACAGCTCCCCAGCAGCCCCCCTCACTCAGGAACATGGGGAAGGAAGCACTCACAGGGTCAATGCCGAAAGGGTAGGGGCCTCGAAAAACTCCAGGGATGTTCGGGTCCAGCTGCAAAGTCCTGCTGTGCCTGATGGTGCTGTCACTGAAAGAGAGGGCAGAGAATGTCGCCATGTGCAGAGGAAGGGCCTGAGAAAGGTACACCCTACCTGTCGCTTTTCTGTTCACAGACTACTTACTTCCAAAGCACCATCCTCTTTTGCTCCTCCTGAGAGTGGCTGGAGCTGTACATGGCAGACACGTTCCACCCGGAGCCAAAGAGGTTCACAGACTTGGAGAAGCAATCGTTGTAGATGAGGCCGGTGTACACGGAGAACAGCCCCATCAGCAGCAGGATATAGCGGCCGTTGAAGAACATCCTCAGGATCTGGTAGAGGTCACGGTGATGACAGACTCACCCACGGGACAGTGGCTCAGGGGAAGCTCATTCTGGTTTTTCCAGCCACTCCTCTGGGCCTTCCCAGAAAACCCCAACAGCAATGTCTTACCCAGGGGTGACAGGCACTAATACACTCAAAGCTCTTGAGCCAGGTGTGGGGCACACACCTATAATCCCAGAACTCAAAAGGCAGAAACAAGGGAATCACAAGTTCAAGGCCAGCCTTCAATATGTAACAAGTTTGAGACTAGCCCGGACTACCTAAGACCACCTCAATGACAAAGCACAGCCCTCTTCCAGTACCACAATGTCATGGCTCCCACCGTGCATGGGCTGGCAGGCACGCATTACCTCCTGTGACTGGCTGAGTCTGGGATGATTCTCATTTAACACCAGTAAAAGGGCAAACAGGAACATGACAAAGCCGTGCCCAAAGTCACCAAACATCACAGCAAACAGGAACGGGAAGGTGATGATGGTGAAGAGAGCTGTGGAGACAGGGGGTTGGCAAGTTCTCAGCATGTACACACGCACACGCACACACGCACACGCACGCACGCACATGCACGCATGCGCACACACACACACGCACACACACGCACACACGCGCACACACACACTGTCTCTCTTAGGACAAGACAGTAAGGGCATTTAAATGCTATACCAGTTGACAAGGTGACAGTAGTGAGCCTGCCTGACAAACACCTATTACATTCCCTTATCAAAAGGGACCAACAGGGCTGGACATGGTGTCACATGCCTATAATCCCAGCTCGCAGAGACAGGAAGATCATCAAGGGTTCAGGGCCAACCTGGGCTACATTGGGATTGTTACAGGCTAGTCAGAGTTATAGACTCGCAACCAAAGTCAAAGCTGAGCTGACATAAGTGCAGGACCAGCCCTGTCCAGATGCCCACCTGGGTTCACTTCTCGGTAGCTCCCGACACCGTAGGCGTCCACGATGTTCTGGAAGCCCTCAGTGAACTTGTTGGTGCGGATCAGAGTGGGTGGTGTCTCTTTCGTAGGGATTGTGTTCATGAACGAGGGGATTGTAGCTCCACTCTCTCTCTTCCACACAGAAAAGAAAAAGAAAAGATGACTGGCCACGAGAGCAGCTACAGATAAGCACATGACTGAGCTGGCCACACTCTGGCAGGGTGGGGTGGGGCATGTTCACAGAAGTAAGTCGCCAGGCCAGACATCCATGCAGAGCCTAGTGGCATGAGGCCAGAACCTGGAGCTGGGGCCCTTGGAAGGAGAGCAGAATGGAACTAGGGAGCGGGAATGGAATGCTGGGGTAAGGTGGATGGAAACAGAACCAAGTCCAGGGCAGTGGAAGCTGAAAGTGAGCCTGGCCAGCTGTGAGGGCCTGGGTGTCAGCATTCGGGAGGTTTTGGCAGGAGAATCTCAAACGGGAGCCCAGCCTAGCAACAGAGCATGACCATGCCTCAAACAGAAAAAATAAAAATAAAAATAAAAGAGAGCGAGATAAAGAAAAAGCCTTGATATCTAGGACTTTATCTCTTAAAAGTGGTCAAGAAAGGGCTGGTGAGACGGTTCAGTGGGTAAAGGTGCTTGCCTACAAGCCTGATGACCTGAGTTCAATCCCCAGGACCTCCACGGGCACAGTGGTACCCACATATGGACACAATGCATAATAAAAGGAATTTAAAGTGCTTAGCAAAGAGGAAGTCAGACACAGCTACACTACCTAGTTTTCAAAAAAGAAAATAGGGAAGAAGAAACAAAATTTTATCTTTGTGGCATAATCTTCTCCGTGAGCTTTCAGCTCAGTTCAGTGTAACATTTACACTTGCCCAGAAATGCACAGAGGAGAAGCAGACAAACACCAGGGGAAAGAGCAACAGCGTGCATGTGAACAGGAAGGTGAGCTGAGAGAATACGGGAAGAAACCCAGCCTCACTCAGCAAGAGCCGGGGC